ACTAACCATTTCTTAGTTTAATTACTTTCCATTGCACAATTATAAATACAACATCTCTACATTACTCAAAATAAAATAAAGAATAAGTTTAAAATGATTTCTAAAAAATATGCGTTAATAATTTTAATATGCCCCTAACTGATTTTCTAGAAATGAGAGTAAGCTTAGCTCTTGAGAGCAATGCAATCATCTTCATCAACTACCGAAATCGAAAATATAGCCATCTTCTAGGCCAAAGATTCTTGTGAAGTAATAAGATTCTCAAATCCAAGGATGACTACATAGCTCACCCTTGAATACATATAACATAGGGAATATATTTTCTTTTTAACCTATGGATGATGTAGTGCTTGACTCAGGCCTTCGAAATAGGTTCTTATAGATCAAGAAGGGAGATTTCCAAACAAAAAGATTTATGATCTTTAAGAAGAATTGAGAAATATAAAGATATGAGTTAACCAACTCAACATTAAAACCATTCGACGTTCCACCTGAATCAATATTCAAAAGAAAACAATTGATCTTCTTCACCAACATAGTTCAAACGATATCACCACGACTTTTTCAGCTCAAATACCATGTGGAGAAAGATAGATGACACAATACCAAAATAATCAACTTCTCAATCAGTGTAACAATGTCATGCCAGCCCAAGACTCACTATAAAAAAAATAGAAGAAGAACAATCAAATAGGTGAATATAAGAGGGAAGAAAAAATATTTTTCATTCAATGATAAAAATTGGGGTACATAAAAGCATTACAGACATACATATGACCCACTTCTCTCACCACACACCTATCTTTAAATAGAGGTTCTTACAACCAAATGCACTACAATAACTACACCTTACAAGAATTACTAACCACCTATTAGTTCCATAACTTCCCATTGCACAATGATAAAAATAGTGTCCCTAATCACTCAAAATAAAATAAAAAAAACAAAACTAATATATTTCTAAAAATTAGATTCTAATAACTTTAACATGCCCAAGGTCGAAAGAAGGCTCTTGGCACACGACCTCCCCTTGGCCAAGTCTCTCGGCACATGACCTCCCTTTGGCCATGTCTAAAATTCTTTTGGAATTATGCTATTTTTTAAAACTTTTGGATATTTAAAATTTGAAATTCTGGAATTAAGTTTTTTCTAATTTTTAGATGTTGAAAATCCAAAACTCAAAATTATGTCCTTTTTTATATAAAAATATAAAATTAAGAGTTAAGTTATTTTTTTTTAAAATAATATAATAATTCAAAAAACCCTTAAATTTGGATTTTCACATTTTGGAAATCCAAATTTAAAAATTATGGTATTTTTTAAAATAAGACAATTCTTAATTTTAAAATTTCAATATTTGAAAGCTAGAAAATCCCTTAATTTATAATATTTGGATTTTGAATATTGAAAATTAAAAAAATAACTTAATTTTTGGAATTTCAATATATGTTAAATAGGAAAAACCATAATTTTGGATTTTTCGGATTTGAATTTCCAAAATCTATAACTTGGTCATGTTTGATTTAAAACCTTGAAAATTCAAAGTTCGAACAATTTAGTCGTTTTTAAAGGTTTATAAAAAGGGTATAAGTGCAATAACAAAAATAATTGGGTAAATTTTAATTTAACATAAATAAATTTGGATATTTTGGTCATTTTAAAAACTTTGTAAAAAGGTACAAGCGTAATACCAAAAAAATAAGGTAAATTTTAAATGAAAAAGTATACAAAAAGAATATTTAGGTCACAATTATTCTTACCTGTTAGATTTTTAATCGGATGGTTGTAAATGTATCATTGACTATATTTAAAGCTCAAAATAAAGTTTCTTAGACTTCACGGCACACTCCAAACCATCCAATTTGATATTTAGAGGCTAAAAGTAATTGTAACCTCCTTTTAACATTGGTAAATGGTATCTTAGCATAAAAACCAGTTTACATCACAAGAGTTGTTAGGGATATGCATGTAAATATATCTTAAAACAAAAAAGTAGAAATTAAGTCCCAAAGGTATTTGAAAGAGATACGATGTAAAATTCCCTAGCTCAAATGCGAAAGCGGAAACTTTATGCATGGACCTAGAATCTTATTTCCGTTCTTATAATAAAAAGAAAAGTGTTTTGATAGGGCTACAGCCCTATCAAATAAAGTAACGTCTCACCCCGAAAATTACGGAAAATTGCAATTGTAGCTTCGAAAAACTTTTAAATCGATCATCTTGATCTTGACCATTACGGTTATGAAAAAACTTAGAATTTCAAGCTCTAAAGATAGTGTGTATAACACATTATCTAGACCGTTCATTTTCAAGTGTTCATTGATCTACTCAGTACTATTTTTGATCTACAATTTCATAATTATTAGTGAAAATTGAGTTTAAAGCCCTAGTAAAGATTTCCGATGCCCAAACTATTTTTGGACGATGTTTGAAAATAAAGCTTTATTTTTTTCATAAGGCCTAGGTTTTATAGAAATTGCATTTTTTTTTTTAATAATTTCTTAAGCCCTCTGTAATTCCCACCATAAAAATTTTAATTTTAATTTTAATTTAATTTTAATAATTATTTAGACTCCCGATACTAATCTATCCAAAAACCGATACGAGTAACTGATCCAACGTTCCCACACGAACATATAAATGAACAATCTCCCTCACAAATCCGGAAAAAAATCTTGGAAGGAGAAGGGCGGCCGTGGTGTTTTAAAAAAGCGAGAGAGCCATTAATATTTAATAGGTGGAATGTCGTGTTATACACTTAACCCAGTCAGTTAGGGCATTGTTTGAGAATTGGAACCAAATGAGGATCCCGCTACTGTAGCAGCCAACCCCTAAAACCATAAACCCAATCGACGTCTCTTCGCTTCTCCGCCCTTTCTTCATCTTGTAGTTTGGGAGTTTTGGAGTACGTCAGGTATGAATGTCGAGCTTATGATGTATTTTGGTTTTATTTTTCTTGCTATTTTGTCTTGTTTACTTATTTCTCTCGGCAAACTTTAGGCCAATCTCTATCTCTCTTGAGTGAAGCCTCTATGGATCTCAGTTCCATAATTGTGTTGCAATGTGCAAAATATTCGTTTTATTTTATTTTATTGATTTTATTTTATTTATTGTATTTTTATTTTTAATTTAACATTTTTGAGGTCTAGTTTTTGTTCCTATTTATGATATGCAATTAAGTTTCTCATGTTTTGGATTCTATGATTTTGTAGAGGAAACATTGTGCTAAGCGTTATTGTTCTTGTCTATTCACCAATTTTATATGCAAATCTAGGTTAACTGTAAAATCATTTTTTTTTTTTTTGTGGTGGAAGTTACATATTGCAATCTGTTAATTGTTGGCTGGCTTTTACTATCAATATTCACACTGTTTCTTTTGATTAACTGCAATCTGCTTAATGTTTCCTTTTGTTATAAATATTTACTCTATTCTTCTGATTTACTTGGTTATATCCTTGTGTGAATGGTTGTGTTTATTACTTGTAAAGTGCATAAAGCTGGGATGCAAGATACCCAATTTTAATTATTTAACCAGTAAAATCCATTAAAAATTGCATAAACCAACAAATAAGCTCCTTTAATGATGTGTTGGGTTTTTGTAAGCCTGGCTTAATGGTTTCTCTTTGATTGTTAGATATCTTTGTTTTCTGTAAATTTCTCGTACAAATTTTCCGTCTCTTTCTTGTTATCTATACTGGATATTTATGACGTTGGGGCTTAATTTTATCAGGCAAAATTTATTCGTTTTTGATAGTTTTTATGTTTAAGTTTTCTGATATTCTTTAGATTAATTCATGTTACAAATTTGGCTGAACACAATGGTGAGAGAAGGATAAATTTTGTGACCTCGAAAACCTTGGTCTAATTGTCGAATTTTTATCTTGCATATCAAAAGTAATGGCCTTTAGATTACTTAAACTTAGATGTTAAGCTGCTGGTATTTTCATAAAGTGAAATCCATGGTAAATTTATATAGACATTCAGCAGAAAATGGGCATGTTTCACCCATCAAAACATTGTCTACTAGTGCATTCATGATCCTTACTAATATTTTTCTTTGGATGTCTACAAAATGAGCCATAAAAAAATGAGTTATAGCTTTTTCTTTTTTATTTGGGCATATGGTTTTGTTTAACTTATTCTTTTATTTTTAAGCAACCTGTGTGCAAAGTATTAAGCTTTGTTGTGTTATGAAAGATGACTGTTAGATAATATACTGATCTTTAATATGCAAATTCGTGGATGGGATGATATATGAGATATGTGATGAATTTATAATGGAAATTTGATGGTGTGCATGCTAAAGTTGTTGTGCTGCACTTACTATAACTATAATTGGTTGGGTTGAGTTGCTGGGTTCGAAAACTTAGATCGGAATTAATGGCCAATATGTTGGTTGGGGTTTCCATTCACAGGAAAGAACTTGAAGTGCATTTGTAAATGGGGCACATAAATGTGATTATTCTTTGTAATGGTATCTTGATTGTTCAATGGAATCTTTGGAATGGTTCTTAGTATCTGAATTAATAGGCATGGATACCCGACCTTCAGCTACGCCTCCAACTTCTTCGACTAACAAATGTATTTCGTATATAAGGAGCTTGGATAGAAGAGGTTTTTTATAATATAATTAATTGGAAAACACAAATAATAGTATAATGAAATAGCTATAAAACAGTTGCGCTACTCTTTGTATTTCGTTACATTTTTGGATTGTCTGAATCATTCTTCTTGTTTGATCTATTATGGATGACACTATTAGATTGTCGTTAAAACAAAAACTAATATTACCCCCAAATACGAATTCTTCATTCATAATTACTAGTTCTCCCAATTTGATAACTTCTAGAGGTACCAAACACAAGTTTCCAGTTTCCCTCTAAATTCTAGACAAGTTACCAATACAAAGTACTTTCCAGTATTAGGAACCAGATCATCCAGATTCACAGGGAGAAGGAACTTCCAAGTTCCAGATAACACCAGCTTCAATTGTCCAACAGGCCCTTAGTTCCCTTACATTGCAAAAATGGAGGCAAAGAGATTCGCGAAAGAAGCCCCATGCTCTGCTGTCGCCGTCAATGCTTTTGTTCATCTTGGAATGGTACTCTCTCTCTCTCAATTTATTTGTCTTGTTTACATTGACTCGTATCTCTCTCTCTCGTGATAATTATATATACGTACATTTATGCATGATGGAAATTCATTAGTGATGGATCCTATGAGAAATCACGTCTGGAACTATTGGTCAAGTCCATATTTGGGTAGTTTTCTTTTATTCTTTCATTCTTTGATTAGATTTGGGTATTTTTTCTTTGGACCTATTATCTCTCTCTTTCATGATCAAATCTTAGTTATGTGCTTAGTTCATGGTCATTTAAATGTGCTCCACAACACTTTGGGGTCTTTTCTTTTCTTTCAATTAAGAATCCGAATTTTGATATTGAGGATATGTAGACTGAATTGCCGACTTTTAGATTTCTCCCTTTGATTAGTATTGCATGTTTGATTCTGTTATTATTATTCTGATTTTTGTATGTGCATTTTTCTGAATGTTATAATTTTTTATCATGGTCTATCTGTATTGAGATTATGTTAGATTACTAAGCATTCATTTGTGTTGCGCTTTGTTACTATTCTGACTCTTACTCTTTGATTTATTGAATGTTTACCTTTTTCTTTTTTCATTATTCTCAGTTCCTCGTTGGTTGTAACAAGTGTTACAGAGTTATTTTTTCTGTGCGTTCTAGATGATTTTTCTTACTAAATATTCTAATTTTATTGTGTTTCTAATTCAAGATAAAATCTGGACCTCATCATCAAAGAGTTGTAAGGTTTGGATAGTCAATTTTTGAGAAGTGTTGACAGTTCAGGGCATGGAAGGGTTGGTTATCACTTACCAGAGTCTTCTATTAGAGTTTGGCTGCGGTCGATGTGTGGGGAATCGGATTTGAAGTTGGTTGTTTTGTGTGGCCATGAAAATCTTTTGGAGTTGTGATTTTCTAAGTGGCTGGTAGTAGGTTATTCTGATTGTTTGGTTCATTTTTTGAAATGTTTTTCTCCTCTTTTGTGCTAAAACTTAAACTTATGGTGGATTTTGTCTTGCTACCGACAATAGAAAAAAGAAGTGGGTTTCGTGTTGGGTTTGGTTGCACAGGATATAGAGGATTGGAGTTTCTAGGTTTTCAAAGTGTTGATTAAATCAACTCTCCCTAGGTTTTGATGTTTTTTTGGTTGATGTTCAGAGATGGGATGCTTGCTTTAGAGTTTAAACCATTGGAAGATAAGTACTTCTCCATATATGTTGTAGTAGTTGATGAGGAAAAGTTATTTTTGGTAGGCATCAGGGATTTAAAACAGAGATGTGATACTGCTGTTGTCAATATACTAACCGATACCGATGCCCAATGCCAACGTTTGAGCATTTTTTATGTGCTCTTACTTCGTTTTGAGCGCCTATAAGATTATTGGAGGTCAATACTGGAAGCTTTGTGATCACCTGGGAGTTTCTGGGTGTTGAATAGGTGATAAGCTTACGAAGAGATCTGTGCTTTCTGGCTATGATCTAGTGCCCCTTGAAAGAGTGGGATAGAAGGGTCTTTAATAGTAAGAAAAAGGAGGATTTGAAAGTGATTAGTGACAGTAAAAAATAGAAGGGTCTTCAATAGTAAGAAAAAGGACGATTTGAAAGTGATTGGTAGTAGGAAAAAACATGTGTTTCTAATAGCGGTGTGCCATATTTGATATAGATTTATAGAAAATTGTCATTTTCTAAGTTCTTTGTCATTTCCTTATTAAAGAATGAATTCGTTAGTTACTGGATGGCTTCAAATTGTGTTGGGTATGTTAGCATACCCCTTGGCTTGGCGGTTAGGGTACTTGCTGCAGCATGGCACCCTAGGTTAGGTTAATTGTGCCTTTTTCCCGTTGTATTCTTGGTTAGGAGTTTTTATTTATCTGCAAATTCAACATTTTACATGGTATCTATTATTCTGTGAAGCATGTGTTCCTTCGATTTCTATGACCAATCACATCTAGAGTGTGGAACTGTGGATTGAATTGTCAATCAAATCTTGAAAAATATGATCTTCTTTTTCTCCCTGATTTTTATTTGTTAATTGACTTTCCATCAAAGCCAAATGAGACAAAAGTATTTTAGCTAAGGGACCATATCACTAGTGATCGAGCTTGGGCTTGATTCGTTAGTTGTTGATGATTGCGGTCCTACATCCCAAGTTCGATCCCTACCGCTAAACTGCCCAAAAATACAAGGGTTCACCTTTCTGCCTTGTTACCTTGTTCATGTGTGAACCCTCATGTATTGTTCCTCCTTTTCCATATATACTTGAAGCTTCACTCTTGAACTATTTATGGATTGTTTGGTTGTATTACAAGTACAAACCATTTATTGTCCCTTGATCTTCAGGTTCATCCTTTTTATGCTTTCTTTGATTCTGACACAGGTGACATGTACTTTCGACCACTTTTGTGGGTTGTTACCCCATTACAAGCCCCTTATGTTTTGAATTTGAGACTATTCTGATCGCTATTGCTCTGCAGCAATTTCAGAAGTGGTGGATTTGTGTTTTATTGCATATCAAGTTCTTTTTGGCTGTAGAAAAATACACATCATTTCATATTATAATCAATGTAGGAGCCTCTCCATTACCTATATCATTGTTTCTCAATGACTGTCAATTTGCACTAGTCGAATCATTATGTTTTTCATCTAGAGTTGTTTGACTTTGAGAGGCAAACTATTATAGGGATACAATGGGAATGGAGAGATGAGAGCGCTCTTCTCAACTTAGTTCCACAATTTGCTATAAAAATGGCCAATTGGGATACAAACGATTGTCGTAATATTTGTGCATGTGCCAGTAGGATGGAGTTCCTTAGAGCAAGGTTTAAAAAATTGTCGATCTGATCCGGATTCACTCGATCCAGATCGGGTATTGGTGGCATCATCCTGGATCCGCTAATAAAGCGGGATCTAGACGATTTGCTACAGGGAATTGAATTGATGACATCATGATTCGGACACACCATCGGTTCCCAAGTGAAAACCGGACATGTCATTGGTTCCTACACTTCCAATTTTTTATTTCTTCAAAAAAAGGTACTTCTCACGTGTGAGCTCATCAATGCGAGCCTGCCCATTTATCACATGCGAGCTCATCAATGCCGGCCTGCTCATTTATGCAGCACACTCCATTCGTTAAGCTCGTGCAACATCATCTGGTAACCTTCATTTTATAGTATCTTGACCTTCCTAATATTTTCAATATGGGACTAATCTTTGTCCCTTTCTTTGAGCCTCAACTAGTCAACCGCGTTAGCCATATTAAAATTAGCGTATCATAGTAAATGAGTTTCATTTAATTGATAAACCTTAGCGTGTCATATTAAATGAGCGTGATATGTAATTTATTAACCTTAGTGTGCCATATTAAATGAGCGTGTCAATTAATTTATATACCTTAGCATGCCATATTCCCAAATTAGTGTGCCGTATTAAAGGAGCCTTATCAACATGTTTTTTTAATTAATGATTTAATTATCGTGTCAAATTAAAAAACTGCTATATAAAAGTTTATGCTATTTATTAGTAAAATGACTTTATAGGTAGGTTTTGTTAACATATTATTATTATTATTTTGTAGCTACTGTGTGTGTTGACGAGAGATTTTTTTTTTTTTTGAATTTTGATATCTCTATTTTTCATCAGTGTTCAAAAAATCGACTTGGCCAAGGTACTCGGCACCTGGCTGAGTTGATTTACTCGGATGAGTCTGAGTAACTCGCTCAAGTCTAGCTCTTTTTTTTTTTTGGAAGAAAATGAAGAAAAAACGTAATATCTATATTTGATGGGTATCCTTTGAAAAGCTAACTGCTGATGGCGCATTGGTTATGCCGTGAGACATTCATCTGCTACCCTACAAGACATTGAGGGTTCGATTCTTGGGGGCTATCACATGAAAAAATGACAATGTTAAAAAAGTAGATGTTCACAAGCCGCAAGTGGAGATACGAACCCGCAACACCCACACCCTAAGGCTTACGCGCCCCTACTAACCACGAAGACCTTTAAGCATGAATGATTTAAATCTGACATATTAATATACATAATGTTTATTAACATGTTGTACAGTCTTCTCGCCCAAAAATTACCTCGCCTATAGGGTTAGGTCGAGTAACCTCGACCGAGTTCTAGAACATTGTTTTTTATTTTTAGGGTAATTTTTTTTTGAATTTTTTTTAATATCATAGATTAAAATTTATAAGGGGTTTAATTTTTATTTTAAATCATATGATATGGAAGCATTTTTAATCATGTTTATTATAATATTATAATTAATAATTATACATTTTTAACCAAAATTTTTTATTTATTAATTTATTTACACTATAAATTATATATTGTATTATTTTTTCTTATCGTTGTAAATAAGAAATTTTAAATTAGATGGTATCAAGGCTTAAAAAAACGGATCGGCGACCTGGATTGTCCACCCGAAAAATAGTGTTGAATTGGTGGATCGGTGTGTTGGATTAGAGAATCAGCCAAATCGGCAAGTTTTGTCCCAAATTTTTTTCAAAAAATCCTATAAATCTCTAAAAATAGTGTTCTTTTAGTTTCTAAAAGAAATTAGGAGTGGTGCATTATGTACTTTTATTACTTTGTAAAAATCAATGAATACTAAGAAGTTATTTTACTGTTTGAATGTCTGTGTAATTATTAATTATAATATAGTATTATAATATTACATCAAAATAATTTAAAAGTATTAGAAAACCCTTCCATATTAAAAGATAAAAATAAGAATTTCCCTTATAAAGTGAAATTAGAATCACATCAATGAATTAAATATTTATTAATTTGCTTTACTCATCCAAAATTTTCACAATCTAACTAACTATAATATTATAGAATAAAATTGAAATTGTTGGTTTATATATTATAATTATTTTACTATACAAATAAGAAGAAATCTAAAATGTCTTATAATATCATAAATTTTTTTATTTGCATCTATAAGAAAAAATAAATACATTACATAATTTATAATGCAAATAAATTAATAGATAAAATGCAAGATTTGGTTATCAATATATTGTTATTAATTATATAATATTATATAAAAACATGATTAAAAATTTATTAAAAAATGCTTTCATGTCATATGATTAAAAATAAAAATAAAATCCCCTATAAATTTTAATGTTATGATATTAAAAAAATTTACCCTAAAAAATAAAAAATAAATATATCAAAATAAAAAATAAAAAAATGCATCTCGGCAACATGCGCAATAGCTACAACTAATAACAATAATATGGTAACAAAACCTACCGAAAAATCCATTTTACTAATAAATAGCAAAAACTTTTATATTGCAGTTTTTTAATTTGGCATGTAATTAATTCATTTAAAGAAAAAATGTATTGATGATGCTCATTTAATATGGAACGTTAATTTGGGATTATGGCACGCTAAGGTTTATAAATTAGTTGACGCACTCATTTAATATGGCATGCTAAAGTTTATAAATTAAATGATACACTCATTTAATATGGCATGCTTCATAATGCACGGTAAGGTTTATCAATTAAGTGACGCTCATTTAATATGGTATGCTAATTTTAATATAGTTAAAGCTGTTAACTAGTTGAGGCTCAAAGAAAGGGACAAAGATTAGTCCCACATCGAAAATATTAGAAAGACCAATTTACTATAAAATGAATGTTACCAGGTAATGTTGTATGAGCTTGACGTGTGGAGGATTGTGCTGCTTAAATGGACATGCCCACATTGATAAGCTTTCGGGTGATAAATGGGTAGGCTCGCATTGATGAGCTCATGTGTGATAAAATACCTTTTTGGAAGGAATAACAAAAAAATAGATAGTATAGAAACCGGTGACGTGTGTGGCTTTCACTTGGGAATTGGTGACATGTCCAAATCGTGTTGTCATCAATCTGATTCCCTATAGCAAATTGTCTGCATCATGTTTTATTAGCGGATTCGGGACATCCGAATCGGGCGAATTCGGATCGGATCGGCGTTGTTTTGAACCTTGGATGATAATATAAGATATTTTAGATTAGTTATTACTTGTATAGTAAGATTTTTATAAATTATAAACCAAGAATTTCAATTTCATTATATAATATTATAGTTAGGTTGTGATAATTTTGGATGAGTAAAGTGAATTAATAAATGTTTAATTACTTTGATGTGATTCTAATTTCACTTTATTTGTAAAATTATTATTTTAATAATATGGAAGTGTTTTCTAATATTTTTTAATTATTTTGATGTAATCTTATAATATTATATTCTAATTAATATTATACAGGCATCTAGACATTAAAAGAGCATCTCAGTATTCATCTATTTTTACAAAGTAATGAAAGTACATAATGCACCACTCCTAATTTCTTTTGGAAACTAAAAGAACACTATTTTTAGAGATTTATAGTAATTTTTTGAAAATTATTTGGGACGAAACTTGCCGATTCGGTCGATTCGACCGATTCTCCGATCCACGGATCTGATGCGGTTTTTGGGGTGGATGATCCGGGTCGCCGATCCGTTTTTTAAACCTTGCCTTAAAGATTACGATGGCAGTTCTCGTTCTTTTTCTAGAATTCTCTTATACGCCGAATGAGCAAGAGGCAACCGACATATCCAAGTCTAGATGCAACTGCTTCTAGCAAGACATTGGGGGATGTGTGCCTTTCTAGTATTGACATATTATCCAAATGGCCCCAAATCATTCTTTTATGCAGGAAAGCTAACTTATTGAAGTTGATCACCTGTGCTATAGAGAAGTATAAGTCTTGATATTGCTTTAACTCCATGGTTTAGAAACTGGAAGAAGTTGGCTGACAGCCTAAATTGGAACCAGTAAGGGCAATTGGTCTGGTCTCCACGTGAACTTCCCCGACCATTTTGGCTAGGAAAAATTTAGATTTTTAAATGAAATAGAAATACTTATGTTGGTACTTTTTTATTTTATTTTATTATCTATGATGCACCTTTACATTGTTCCTGTGCTTGCTTGGGTTGGTCAATAGGTTTGCTTTATTTCTAAAATACAACATCCATTTCTGTCAGGCAGGGTTAGCTTGGGGTGTGGTCAGTGGACCCTACAGAGCTGATAAAAGAGGTCTGTCCTGATTTATGAGAAAAACATTATGGGGAGATGAGTTTTACATATAGTCAAAACTTATTGTCCACTGAAATAATGTGTTGTGAGGGCGAGTGGGCTCCATCATCAGGTTCATGGCCTCTTCAGGCGGATCCTACTCTCTCTGTTTCACAATTGAATGGATGGTGATGACCATTTGAATATGGTTTTTCCATAGTTTGGTGGATTATCCTAGACTTTCCCCTAAGTGGGTTTTGTCTTTCTTTGTTACTAACATCTGTGTCTTGCTTTGCCTGATCTTATTTCTCCATTTGTGGAACTTAGGCCTTGCTGGTGTTGCCCGAACTACTTTCCTGGTAAGAAATTTGGATTGTCATTACCATTGGTTAGAGTTTTACAGTGCTTATAGAGTTTCTTTGCTAGAATATAAAGTTATCATGAAGGACAGGTATACTATGACCTAATATGCAATGGAAGAACCATAATCTTGGGTCATCATTGTCCAATGAAGCGAGGATGATGATGGAGAGAGTGAAACGTTAGGTTAGATTCATACCATGTTTTAGTGTCTCTACATCACAATCCATTCATTTCAATGGATGGCGATGGCATGGTTTTGCCATGGTACGTTGGATTATGGTATGCTGTCCCCATCATGAGTATTCCTGCTTGCACGATAAATTGCATTTATTTGATAGCTGCATTGGTGATTTGCAGATGAAGAGAGTTGGTACATACAGCCTTCTATGGGGTAAATGAAAATCCATTTTGAATTTATGATCTTTGAACCAAAGAAAATTATTGCCATTAGTGATTTATCATGAACTTGTCTAGGCATATGTTATCAATATAAGAACCATGTTTTTTTACAATCTGTTCAAACTAGTGCTGATAATGCTAATTGTTCAAAGATGACTCTTGTTGAATTCCCTCAAACCTCAGTTCGTGACAGGCCTATGGATTAAATTAAAATGTTTATCTTATCAAATGATTGCCAATGCAGGGCGAGGTTTATAGTTGTGTTCTTCATATATTTGAAATATTGTAATGTTTTCTTCCCTTAACCAAAAATTACCCAAGGGAATTGCCTTTTTCACAATATTGATTGTGTTATTGGGTTCCACAATCTTATTCACCGGCATGCAAGGGACCTCAATGTTTATCTAAAGGCAAAAGCTCAACCAAAGGCGAAAGCTCAAATTGGTTGAGTGCTAGAAGGTCTTAAACCCATCGAATCAAGGAGGTTTCTGGCCACCTGTATATATGTCAACTTAAGATGAACAACTTGGAGGTCTTACAAGCTGACATCGACTAATCAATGATGATGGTTGGAAAGTGAGAACAGGAGATCATGGTAACGTTATCTCTGTCTTATCCAGGATGCACAAATTTATCTATAAGCAAATCTCCCATGAGTAGGGCTGATTCTCTGTAGACCATAATATTGTGAAAATGGTTATCTTTCTGGTACTGGTTTTGTACGCTTTGCCTTCTGTTTGTTTTCGTAGGACTAGACAAAAATATTTATCAGGCCTTCTTGCGTAAAAGTCTGAGAGACAATAGTCACAACCCATATGAATGAATAGGCCAGTGCAGCAAAATGGTAATGTAATGGAAACTCTTTTACTGTTTTTCAATAGTTCCTGCTGAAAGCATTTATGGGAGTATGCGGCTATAATGGTTGGGGACCACTTATTGTGACTACATATTGTCAATGAGCTGGTTTCCATCAAAAAGGGGTAAAGCGAAGTAGCTCTCCTTGCATTAAGCCAGCTTTACATGGTTCTTATCAATTTAGTCCCCGACTTGTCACTTTTTCTGGTAACTTTTAAATGGCTTTGTTACCTTTACACATTGATAAGTTTTTTAGCATGTCCATATGGATATAGCATATGCACATATATTTAACTAAATGCACAGACTTCTTTCGCACATTACAGCAATTTCTTTGATGGAAGGAGGTTGAATTTGTGTCGGACTTGGTTTTCAGCTGTTTTACTTTGACATTCATGGCATGGAAGTAGTTATTCATGCATTAAAGCTGTTTTTTTTAAGGCTTCTTTTTTAGCCCTAAATTTTTTTTTTTTTTTGATGTATCCTGATTTTTTTCTCAAATGATGTCCATTTAAAAGTTCTTGCTTCTTGTTCAAGTTAACCTTACTCATACTTTCAAAATCTGTCATCTTCCATGCTTTCTCAAAGGATCTTTGGGTGGAGCTTTTCATGCAATACGTTGTGGTGTTAGAAGATATCGGATGCAGGAGGATTGGGTGAGTCTCTCTGTATGTTGTAACACATTTTCATCTATTAGATTTAACATTTAATGGTTAAAAGTGATTGTGACCTTCTTGTACCAATAATAAATAGTCTCATAGTATATAATCCCATTTTTTATGGGCATCCTTACTTGAGGAGGAAAGTTACACCTCAAAGCGATCCTTATGTTTTTTGCCATAGTAGTCACAAGTAGATTCAGAACATCACTATCAATTTCAAACATTTTCCATCTCTTGCAAGCCATAGATTAGAAAAGAAAAAATTGAAATATGATAAGCATGCAGACATGAAAGCATGTGCAATAAATGGGACCGAAGATAATGATCCCAGTCCCTTTTTTTTCGAGGGAAAGTAGGAGCACGGAAAATCTGCTGTCCAAAGTGCGCGTTACCATCTAATCAGTGGATGTACAGTGATGGATTGAGAATGGGGGCTAATACCTGAGTCATGTTGCTCTGATAGGTCCTATTTTCCATCTCTTAGACAGTGATGATATTTATGAGCATAAAGTTTCTATATGGATCTCGGCTAGTTTCTAAAAGTGGTACCTTGATATTGAAGGTATGGAAAAAAGTACATTTTAGCTTTCAGTTGAGTCGGCTTGTGTAAGCTCGGATTCTGATCCAATCAAACATGGGTAATTATGCAAATTCAAGTATATTATATTCTTTGGAATTTTTATTATGCCAATCTATGATACGTTCTCAAAAACAAAACATACCAGAAAATGATGCCAAACTGTGATATATGATTTTGTTAATGTAGTATGATTATAAACTACGACATCCTGATGTTTAGCTGCCTAATAAACTCGCTTTGCAGGCATGGCCCTTTTTACTTATCTCCTGATAGATGAATCTGGGAACTTATAAATTTCAAGATATCTTTCTCGACAGAACTCAAATTGCATTTTTGTCTCCCTTAGGAACCATGCTCTCTAAAACCAGAGTCAATCATCCCAGTCTGCAGAGAGAGCGAGAGTGTTGATAGTCCTAAGAATTGGCTTCTTGATATTCAGGTGAACTCCGGCATTGCTGGTGCCATAGCTGGCGCAGCCTTGGGTATGAAGACAAGGAGCTTAACGCAGATCGCGATAACCTCCGTCATTGTGTCGGGCATTGTTACAGTGATTGACAGCTCGAAACCATTTTGATACAATTTCATTATAACCGATTTTGTTTTCGAATATTTTTTTTAAATGGATAGCCATAATTTGAAGGTTACCCCCTAGTTGGAGCATCTAGGCCCTCAATCAGGCTAGAGAATGGGTGGCCAAGGTTAGAATAAAAGGATGGAGCTTGTGTTAGCCAACAACCTCAAACCGTTAAACTATGTGGTAACCGTCAAAACTATGTGGAAGTTGTAGTTTTGATTTCAAAAACTGATGTGATGGTCTAAAAATCTATTTGTACCTTTAGTTGTGAAATTTAGCAGTAAAAAAATGATGCAGGTTGAAAAAATTTTGGATAGTGATGTGTGCGACCTTGGTGTAAAATATAAAAAATTTATATGCTTGCAAAATTTGACCAAAATGCCGAACGAGTGTGGGCTGTAGGATAGTTTTGTTGTGTGCGGAAGCTTTAAACTCGATGGGTGAATATTTGGCAAATAAAGTATGATTTTTGTTGTGCGTGGAAGTTTTAAACTAGATGGGTGAATATTTGGTAAATAAAGTATGAGACAAAGTATGAAACAAATACAAGAGCACATATTTACGTGGTTCATCTCAAAAGGATTACATCTACGGGTACGGCAAATAAAATTCACTATATCATTGAAAGCTATATAAAAGATTTTGGAACAAATCTAGATAAAAACATAATTGAGCAAATTTTTTTAATCCACTCTCTCTTCTCTCTGTATTTTTGGCAATCATTATCAACATCTTATCAGCAACATCAGATGAGATGTGAGAGTGACAAGAAACCGACTTTCTTTCTATCTCTATCTAAAAGGTTTTATATTTAATTAAAAGGGAAACAATTTAAATTTTTCATGGGAACTACTTTTCTGCAAGAAATCAATCTCTCAGGAGTTTTTTTGCATCTCTCTTTAGAGGAGCTACCAATCTCTCATTATGTAGGAGCTTTTTGCCTCCCTCTCTCTCTTGAGGAGCCACCATTCCCATATGGTAACCTAAATTGAGCACGTCTTCTAAAATTATCTCATCATATAGAGAAAATAGACTCACTATAGGAATATCTCAATTTCAAATTTTCCTTACTTGGGTGATTTTGGATATCACCAAATACAAAAAGTTCAACTTGGCCATCTAGCTCACGGATATTCCCTAGCCTAATAAATCTTTTTCCTTATAATATGTTTAGAAGTATATGAAGAGCAAGAAAGTAACAATACTTCTCTTATGTCAAATTTTTAATTGTGTGAATGTAAGTATGTTATTGATTATACTCATGTAAAAAAAAATGTTCTTGAACTTCATGATACACTTCAAGCCATCCAATTTGAAATCTAACGGCAATGAATGGTTGTGACTATCTTGTATCAATGATAAATTTTTGTATAATATACAATTGATTTGAATGCAATTAACACAAATGTTTGGATACACCTTGACTGAAGCGTGAATGGAGAGAGAGAAACTCTTAACAATTTTCTGGTGCTCTTTTAACTTAAAAATAAACCATTTCTCAAACCTTTAACCAGTCTGATTGTTTTCTCCTTCAAACTCATGAAAATAAATTTTTTTGATAATCGTAAAACAACAATAAGTTACCTAATTTTAATCATATATTTTGATTAATCCATATATTATGACCAGATAAACCTCATTCATTATTCCTTGAGCATTATTGGCTACATTTGGGATCCTACTGTATGTCAAGAAGCCTAGATTTTTCTTGCATCTTAGAATAAATACTCCTTGTTTTGATAAAAAATGAGCACTTAATTGCATAATGATGTTCCAAAAGGAGACGGATCTCTCTCAATTCAATAATAAAATGAAGCAACGCACTCCATTAACATTTAACATGAAAATATAGGAGCTACACTGTCGAGTGATACTTTGCAAATGAAGTAGATTCAAGGTGTTTGTTGTTGGGGTTACTTTTGAGGAAATTGGAATACCAATGCGCAGAGAGCTTGGGATATCTCCTTAAGTCCTGGTCCTTGAAGTCCACATGATAGAGACCAAAGCGGGACTCGTAACCATTAAGAACTTCAAAACAATCCAAAAGGGACCATACGAAATACCCTTTGGTGTTAGAACCGTCCCTGCAAAATTTGCGGCATCCATTTACTTGTACATAATAATGCATGTGAAGATCATTGTTTCAAAAATCAGAATCCGGCCTCAAATAAGCAGGCTTGGTTTTTGATAAGAACGGTCCGTTCTTGCACAGGACCGGGCTTATCTTTAACCAAAGCGAAAGCTCAAGCTCAGAGGTCGATGGTGATTTCTGGATTTGTTGAAACATAAATCACCTAGCTGATGACTTCAATCCGAATATGGGGATTTTCCAATCGATAGTATGCATCAGTCTTTTAAAATCCAGACTGGCCGACTGAATCAACCACTGGCTATACCAATCCAGATCCGCTGGATGGGCGAACCAGATTACCATGAACCAAGCAAAATAATTAAAAAAAAAAGGAAAGAAAGTAAAGATAGGTCATAAATCTTGGATCGCCCACCTGCCGAACCCGATGACTGTGATCGGATTGGCAAGCAGGTAAATACCATGACTGCACATATCATGAGTGAGCTGAGTACCTTATTGCATTTAGAAGGCTCCTAAGATAGCCATCCAAGTAGCTTACTCTAGAAGCATCATTCAAGGCCTTTGAAAGGGGCATAGATTCTTGATTTCGACTCCCGTAACCTAGCAATAGAAAAACATTAATACCTTAAATATTAATGTCCTAGAGAGGAGAGGAGAGGGAAGAGAGAGTAGAAGTTGCTCACCATTTTCATGTATAAAAATTGGAGGGTTGTTGTAAGTTTGCTTAATATACTCCAATATTCCTTGTAGGCCCCACGGAACAACGGGAGTTGCACCAGGTAACTACCACATCATTCCATTGTTGAAGAGAGAGAAATGAAGAGAGGCAGTTAGAAAGAGACACCATATCTTTCAAAAACATTATTTACACAATAAAGAGTCTCTTAGGCTCGTCCGTTCATTTGTTTTAGAACAAGGTTTATGTGAGTCTGTCCACTTGCCTATTTTTCAGCATTTGAGTATTGGAAAACATTAGTATTTTTTATTTATTTCTTTTATTCTTTTTAACATCATGCATTGCCGCATTTAAAAACCTCGGTACTTTACATCATGCATTTAATTTTTGGCACGCAGCTATTTTCTTAAAGGGATTGTATATTATAAGATCATTTATTTTTGGGACAGGGAGGTCATCGTCATTCTTAACCATTAGATCTAAAATCTGATATATTGAAATGTGTCACAATACTCGAGAAATTTTATTTTGGACATTCTGCCTAGTCCATGACACATCTCGAACCACTCAATTTTACATCTAATAGTCAATAATAGCCGTCATCTCTGTATACAAGTAAATATTCTTATCATATATATTTCCTGTCTAAAATCCATCTTAAAGCTAGGTTCCGGACCCCTTAAACCAAATGAGGGGTTCTTACCTCATTTATTGGCACGCCATCCTTCTCCACTGCATATCAACATGAGACCAGTATATTAACCAACATACTCTTACTTGCCTTCGAACTTCAAAATTGAAAGAGGAAAATGCACCTGAAAATTTGACAGACACATCGGCTTGGTAGTCCCTCAGTCCTGTTTTCCGACGGCTTTGGTCATCGGATACATACATAGTCGTATAGTGAACGAGTCCGATATAGTCAAATGAGGCCTTGACTACCTCGCTTTCTTCTTTTGTGAAAGATGGCAACCTTGATCCAACCATCTCTTTCATGGTCTCTGGGTAGTCCCCAGAGACTAAGGGTCTCAAAATCCTGCAAGTGAAAATTTCTAAGCTAATTCAAAGCATATATATATCTCTCTCTCAAGCATACTGTAATATTTGCTCCCACCGGCAAAACTCCATCTCAGAGTAATTTTAGGATGTCAAGTTTTGGGGATGAAACATCTTCAACCCATAGATTAATCTTAACTTTTTTTTTTTCCAAATGCACTCTTTATCTTCTTGGAAAAAAAAAAAAAAGGTTCAACATTGAACATAGATTGTCCAATTTTTTGAGGATGAGATCTAAGGGTTAAAAAATTTAAAATTCAAATTTCCTTTTGAATGATCTTGTGATTCCTAAGTAGTTCCCAAAATTTTAAATTAAAAAAATATTCTCAAGTAGGTCTTTTGCCTGATGGAGTAGTTGGACAATATGCTCCTATAGAAACATAGAATACATGGCCCTAATAGAAATTGTGTGTGGCATGAGTGGTTGGACAATATGCTCCTATAGAAACATCGAATACATGGCCCTAATAGAAATTGTGTCGCATGAGTGGTTAAGCGTCCTAGAACATCAATATCTTCACAAATTTTTATAGAAGTAGAAGTAATTTTTTCCCGCCAGAAATAGTATTTAGATGACACTATGATTTCAACCTTAATACCTTTGCTTAGTAATAGTCCTGCAATAGTAATTTGCATTGGGTTACCTCTAAAGAAGAATGGAAAATTTAACCATTACACAATAATATTTTCATACCCCTTATTTTTAGACTTCATTTTACAATAGACTCAATGTTTTAAAAGATATCTTGAAGCACAAAAATTATAGATTTTATTTCTTCTAACCCTTGAGCTAATTTAAACATGTTTTTTAAGTCAAACAAATCTAAAAAGACATGCCTTTTTTAAAAGCAATTTTTTCAAACTTCTAGAGAGAGAGAACATGGCTTCATGAAGGTGAGGGGTTACTAGGAAGAGAGAGAGAGAGGTGTTTGAAGAGAGATAGAGTGAGAGATACAAGAAGAAAGAGTAAAAAATTTAAGGTATATAAGTGAAGAGAGAGAAATGATTGGGTTTAGAAATAACATGTCTTTCTCGCATTTGTTTATGTTAAAAAATAAGTTTCAAGTGGTCAAAAGGTAGAAAATATGTTGTGAAACATTGAGTTTATCAAGAAATAAAACCTAAAATAGGGGATATAGAGATATTTTCTCTATTTTGTATGTTTATGGAGATCAATGACCACTCAATCTTGATTTGATGTCGTAAAACCTTTCTTTACGTCCCTACATATTTGTTCAATCTAGATCGAATGATAATGAGAGAACTAAAAATAATATCATATTTTATTGCGAACTATATTTGTAAAGCCATAATTAATGTGTAATATTGTTATAGGTATGTTTCAACTATCTAATCACAAGGTTGGATGCCTCGACACACATGGGGCACAACTCTTTTGACATAAAGAGGTCTGCCCTCATACGTGACACGTATCTCGAACAAATCAAGAAAGCTGACTACCATGGCTTACCGAGGAAAAAAAAACATTATGTATCAAAGACATTTTGGAGAATTTTGAAATTTAGTTTGATATAAAATTACATAGCACTGGGATAAGATTCCGAACGATATATAGGTAAAACCTAATCTTGGAGTAATTTAAGGATCTCAAATTTTAGAGATGTACTCTATTTAACCCATAGACCAACTTTAATAAAGAAAAAAAAGAATTCGAAATCGTGCTCTCTACATGCTTGAAAAATATAATGTTTCAAGATTGGACAAAGACTGCCTACTTTTTTGGGGGTGAGATCCATATGCTAGAAAATTTAAAATTGGATTTTTTTTTTTCAAAATAATCATCTAGTGATTATTAGGTAGATCTCAGAATTTTAAATTCAAAAGATCGTGCCCAATAGTTCTTCTACTTGGGGGAGTTGATACATGGTATGCTCCCGTGTAAACATGGTATATGCGTTAATTCTAAGTTCAGATATTTATCACAATTTCCTAGTAATTCATTGGTGGAATTCCTAATTGGATGGACCCCCGATGGAACACATGGATTAACAGACTACACTAAAAAAGTACACACATAGATGAGAATGGGTTTGGGTGGTGGTGGTAGCATTTGTGCCTTAGTTAAAGTTTAAGTTTTCATTCTCACTTAATGTATTAAAAAATTATTAACGATTTACAAAACATCGTCATCCTCACTGAATTACCAAAAAAAAAAAAGTACAATATGCCCTAAGATAGGCATGCCCCACTGCCCAAAAGCGTAATTCTCTCTTGCTCCCTAACTCCACACTCTCTCTCTAGATACTTAGGATTTAGGGGCGGCAATGGATCCGGACCCGACCTGGGATCCAAGTGGTAGACCCGATCCAGGTCTGGTATAAGTTAAAAAATTGGACCAGGTCGGGTCAGGTTCCAAATCTTAGACCTGAACACTAATCGAGTCTGGATTAGGTAATATTTTTCGAGTCCCAATATAATAAATATATTTAAATATAGTTAAATTCATTGATTTTTAAATTTTTAGGTTGGGTATGTGTTTGGGTCGGGGTCTAGAACAGGATTAGGATCCCATATCATTTTTTCGAGTTCAGGTTCAGATCTGGATCTCATATCATGTTTTTGGGTACAGGTCCGAACCGACCAGTTGCCACACCTATAAGGATTTACTATGTGTAAAAATATTTTTGAATCTTTCGTATCTTGTGATCAGATCAAAAGACTGGCCTAAGACTGCTTTCATGTTGCTCCTAGAGTTGAGAAGACGATTTCAATTTTTTTTTTCGTGCTTCAGCTGTAGGAATTGTAGGAATTTCAAGAGTGGCTTTCATCTTGCTCCTAGAGCTGAGAAGACAATTTCAATTTTTTTTTTTTTGATGGGAATCGAGCTTGAGATATCGCGCTACCAAACATCAGCAGCTAACCACTCACGCCCAAGATCTATTAGAGAAAGCACACTTGAATTTAAAAGGATGAGGATCGTGCTCTAAGTACGGTTAGTAATCACCATCCCTGGACTACTCATTGTTTTTGTCGCTATGAGTGTCCTGACAAACTTAATGAGCTGAAAGGAAAAAAGAAAAACTCTCAATAAACTATTTTTTATTTGAGACATATATTTTTTTTGGATTGATCTATATGCTGAAATTTGTGGAATATCAACTAGCTTTTTAGTTCTTTTTCAGGTTCTAAGTAGGGCTAGCAATGGGCATAGCAGCCTGATTGGCCCAGCCGGCCCATTAGTAAAACAACCAGGGCTGGGGCCATAAAATATGACCCTAGTGCCGCTTCAAGGCTGGCCCACCACAGCCTGAGAGCAGGACTTGCCCTACCCTTTTTTTCTTTATTTTTCATTTATTAATAGAAGGCAAGGGAAGCTGAGCCAGACTAGCTGCCAGCCTAGTTCAAAATGTAAGAATGTTTTTCTTTGGCTATTTGAACTTACCAGCCACTATTGAAATCAAGTGCTCTTTGTGTGGCGGCAACGTCCGATGACGAGTTTGTGTATGGGACATACCAAAAGCAATATATCGATATTCCGATTGATCCACCTTGTGTAGCCTACATTAATAAAATCATATATGTGAGAATTTCATATGAGGAGTTAATTCTCCGAGTGAGTAAGATGATAAATTACATGTCAGAGAAGGATTTTTTTAAAGGAGACCATTTATCTTTTGTTCATAAAAGTTACAAAAAGTTTAAGTATTTTGTCGGGTGCATGTCTTTTATGTTTTTTGTGTAGAGATATTGAAATGTCAGATGTAGAAGCTGGTTGTCATGGATCAGTTGTCAACCGTTTCATCAAATATATGACATTGGATCCATCGAAACATAAATTGGTTTGCTCGTTTAGGCAGATCGGTTTTTCGACAAGATGCACAATGTATCCATCAAGAAGAGAGGAAAGCATCTATAACAATCCCCTTCCTTGTGCAGGGGAAAAAGCAGTAAGGAGTAGGGTTCACCTGGTACTTGTCCTTGTAAAGTCTTGCAGCTGCTGCATGGGCCAACAATTCATTGTGGGTAACGATGTAGGGTTCAGTAGAGGAGTTGCCCACCGTACAGTTTATCAATCCAAAGGGGTTAGAACATCGTTGAGGTGGCCAAAATCCCAAATCATAAGAACCTAAAGGAAACATATTAGGCTCATTGATAGTGGACCAATGCCTCACTCTATCCCCAAATTCTCTAAAACACACTTCTGCATATCCCTTGAAATCATCTCTGCACAAAATCAATGTCAAAAGTTAAAACTATCATCAAATCATGGAAATGAATTCTTTTACAATGATATTGTAAAAAAAAAAAGAAGAAGCAAAAACCGCATGTCTTCTCCACTGAATTACCCAAAAAAAAAAAGAAAAAAAAAGGGTAACAAAGAAAGTAATTTGGTTGTTAATCATAAATTGGCTTTTTAAGCACTTCATGCGTAAGCTTCAACGAGAATGGCAAGACCAAATAGTAACATAAATAAATAACCCAGAAAATAAAAAGCAGAGTAGAAGACAAAAGTAAGGGAAAATTATAAATAATCACTTAGCTGATTATTTGTTAATTTTATTGCAAATAGCCCACCAAAATACATATATGGCATCCACAATATTCCACCGTTTCATGAAATGACTAAAATTTTGCCTACCTCGAATATATTTCAAGCACCTTAGGGCCTGTTGGATGACACTTAATTTTATCTGAAATATGTTAATCTTAAATAAAATTAATATACTATAATTAATATTATTTTATTAGTTATTTGATACACATCTTGTATTATGTACAAGATTATTTAGATATTTAACTTTACGGTGTTTTCTATCTATTTTTAACTATTTCAGCCAAGAAGACGTGATGTTAATTTTAAATACTGTATAAACAACTTTTCAAAAAGGATAAACTTTTGCGTAAAACTGGCTATGACTTTCTCTTAGATAAATTTATGGTGGATACAAACAAAAGATAACTCCTTATCAGGATCAACTTTATCGAAACAGTGAATTATCAATGATTTAATGAGTACAATCAAACATGCCTCTTGTCTTTTTGAGTAAATTTCCGCATTCAATATTTATAAAAGATATCTAAAACTAATTTTGTATATAATAACAGAAACCAAGCAAATAATTGAGAGAGTACAGGGGCAATTTTCCAAAGGAGGGAAAGAAGGGACTCAAAGTTGAGGGATTACATTATCCTGGGACTTAGCCATCCTTTGTATTCATCCTCTAGTGCTTGAGGAGGATCCAAATGCTGAAGGGTCACATGTGGTTGGATTCCTGAGGGTCAATCAGCTTTCAATAAGGGGCTAGAATCATGCTTTTAAATTTTGCGAGTAAACAATATTGAAATTTTGAGAGCAAACAATAGTTAGTTAACAAGTTTGACAATAATTTTTTTTAAAAAGTATACAATGCGACCATTTATCTTTGGTATAAGCCGGTCATAATTAATGTTGATCATTGAATGGTTGTATTTATTCTATCGACCAAGTTCAAAGTTTAAATAATTTTTCTCGAACTTTGTGACATACCGAAGCTACTAGATTTCATATCGAATGGTTATAAGTAATTGTGACCTCTTTGTATCAGAGATAAATAGTCTCATTATATACATTCTCAATTTTTTATATAATTCTATGTACAAGACGTACTATACAACACCCATCATTAAAGTACACAATTTCATGAGAATGTATGGGTACAAGACACGGTAAAATCCATCCTTTGCCCACCTTATTTCATCAAAATTAGATGAAATATAAGAAAACTGCGTCATTTTCATAAAACATTGTGGGAAAAGAGAGATATTGTAGGAAAAGAGAGAGATAGGAGCTGTGTTTCAAAACCCGGATCAATGGGGCAGATGGTTCATCCACACATCTGTGTCAGATTGTTGGATCAACAAATTGGATTAGATCTAGATCGGCATGAATCAGTGATCTAAAAGACATTTTAAAAATAAATAAAAAATTAAAATAGAGTTTTATGAGGTGGGGATTTAGAGAGGACCTAAAAAAAACATTAGATAAACTTATAAGAAAAAAACAGAAAAAAAAAAAATATAAATGAAGTTTTAGGGGAAAACCGGGTCAGAACCCTTACCATCCTAGAACCGGTTTGGTACCTAGCCTATTCCCATCTAGATAGGTGATCTGGACTAGAAATCGACAGGTTTTAAATCATTATATTCAAAATTCTTTTATCTTTTTTACACACTTACACATATACATGGAAATATATTTCTACAGATATTCCTTCAAATATTACTGGGTTTTAAAAATTGACATCTTATTTGCCCTGGAAATATGTAAAAAGAAATAATCAATGATTAGATTTGTCCATATATGAGAGAGAGGACGATCAGCATACCATGGCTAATGAGTTCATTGATAAGATTGTTGTAATACATTAGGCCCTTTGGATTGACTGCTCCCCTTCCATCTGTACCAAAAAGCATAAGGGGTTTTCCTACATGATAATTAATATTGTATAACAAATAGGAAAAAGAGCATATTAAGAATAGGGAGTGCTTGAGAGTGATGGTGTAGGGTATGGGAAGCAGTGACCGTACCTGGGAGAAGCCTTGACCATGAGATGGAGAATCTGTAGGCATCTAGGCCAATATCATGTGCAAGCTTCACATCTTCCTACAAAACCAATTACATGTTTAGAACGTCCAAATTCTGGTATCCGGTAATGCATTGGAAAGGAAAGATAATCCAGATTTTGGTAATTCATAAGAGAAGGAGAAGATTATATTAGGTGTCACCCTTATACTATAGAAGTAAGGAGCACCTAAAAAAGATTGAAAACTGCTGTTTCGTTGATGGAAAATCTACCTATTGATCATTTCAACCTCAAGATGTATAGATACGAAGAAAAAATGACTTCAAATCATAAAAACAATGCATCTTGTAATAGAGATATGAAGAAAACATAACTTCAAGTCATGAAAACAATGTATCCTGTATTGGATTATCTAGTCCATCTATTTCTAAGATTTTCATGTATTTATATATATCATTGATCTACACCAATTTTGGAGTTTTCAATTTCATAATTATAGGTGAAAATAAATTTTTGGGTTAGGGCTTTCCAACACCAAAATTTCATCTTTCAGCGTAATTTGGAGGCTGTCTTTTTTTTTTTTTTTAAGATTGACACCTTATATAAGATCACACCCTTCATAAGAAATATTCATTACAAATTTGGATTGTGAAAATTAACTAAAAACCTGGATCACATATCTTGTTGACCTACGTCGAGAGCTCGAAAGGGCTCTAGAGGTGTATTATGTGAATCAGTTCTACGTCTATTCCATGGTTATGCAATATATATGAAATAGTTCTGTTAGCCATGTCATGTACAAAGCAGTGTATACCCGACAACCTAAATTCAATATGGACAGATCAAACAGCTATTGTTGTGAATCACAATTTCAGCTTTAACTCTTATTTTTATTATTAAATTAGTATTAGTATTATTATTATTATTTACAATTTGAGTTATTTGAAAGTTTAAGAGTGAGTGAACTTGATAAAAAAAAGTAGAATAATTCTCAAAAATAAATCAACCAAAGTAACTTTTAGGGGTAATTCAGTTAATTAATATAAATGTGAATTAATTTATATATTTGTTTTTAGTCAACCTAACGTTTATGATCAAATTTTTAGCTTTGAAGGGGAATTTTGATTATGGCTGGGTAAAATTTACAGGACTACCATGTGGTCCATATTTTCATGAAATTTGAGGTAATGTCCTTCTTTGTTGTGTATTTTTATTGTTACCAATTTTTCCCTCCATGCGATATTGCAGACATTGAACATCCATGCGATATTGCAGACATTGAACAACTTAATTTCTTGTTTTTTTTTTTAGCCATTTGTGGGACGCTCCAATGGATAAGTATATTGATCAGATGCTCCATATATCCGACATTCCCATACTTTTACTTTATTATTTATTTATTTTTATTTTTATTTTTATTTTTTTTTCTAAGTATACCGGTATGATGATTGAAACATCAAGTTACACCATACAAAAAAATACATTAGGTTATATGGGGCTGTTGAACTGCCCCAAAAAATAGGGCGGTCTCATATCTTGTACATGGGACCATCCTGCAGATGCCAAAAAAACAAGTGGAGAACCAAAAATAAGAAAGATTGTCGAAACACCGAATCAAAGGCAGGACTAGACAAAAAAAAAAAAAAAGACAAAAAGAAAAAAAATAACCCACCATAAGGAATGATCCCTTAAATTTCACCCAGTCCCTACTGAAATTTCCCTATAACAAAAAAAAATAAAAAAAAGAGGCCAAATTACAATATAATATATAATACAAGATCAGCCATCGGATCATCCATATTAGACATAGGGCGCTCAGTGTATACCATTCGCCTCCGTGCCTATGTATAAAAGTGAAATCCTATGTGATCGGACCCGACCTAATCCAGCAACTCGGTTCAGGTCCAGGTCGAGCTAGAGTCTGGAATGAGATCGAATCAACCCTTACAATTTACACTTTAAAAGAAAAATGTAACATAATCAAATCATCGACAATTAAGAAGGAAAACAACCCAATTAAAAAAATAAAAACAGGGGTAGGTACCTTGTATTTGTGATATTGGTCTGCTGCTACATCTCCTGTGCTCTTATTTGGCATCTTCCCTAATTTTTACATAAAATTAATTTTTCATTTAACTTCCTCAATAAGAATAATAATAATAAAAATAAAACGACAAGTAAGTAAGAGTGTTAGCTTAAGAGAAAGGACCAGCATGAGTGAACACGTCCCAAATGCTTGGTTTTCTACCATCCTCTGCTGCTGCCCCTTCAACCTAAAAAGGAAAATCAGAAACTTTTCATGCTCATTTCGTTTTTGTGAATTTGTTAGTTATATTATTATTACACTGCTAAATTTATCACTGACCTGATAAGCCGAAGTTCCTGCTCCAAAGATGAATCCTGGTGGGAAGTCATCCCTGCTAAATTTATGAGGAACTTCTTCTCCTAAACTATTATGGGTCACTGCTGCTAAATTTAGCAGAAGGAATAAAGAGTTCAAACCCATCAGCATCACCATAATCTCGCTCAATCTCTAATCAGATGTGCACTGAGAGAGCATTAGTGGGTGATCGTCTATGTTTATACTCTTTAACTCTAGTGGGACCCTGCCTTGCAAGAACGATCTTTCATGTGGAAACGAGCCAGTGACGTGACGAGTGACGGAGAAATACATTTTCCTATCCCTACCGTATATAAGTTGAATCCCCACCCTTATCTACCCGTAAGCACTTACTAGTATCTTCTCAATGGGACACGTTTAAAAAATATTTCTAAAAACAAATTGTTTTTCAGAGAGAACGGGCACCAAAAATTTAATGTGGAAATGTTTGACAGAAAAAAAAATAAAAAATAAAGTAACATAGAGGTGTGATATTGTGATTAAATCCATATTAACAATCCATTCCAATTAGACGGCTAGATAGGGAGAAACATATAATTTATATTTTTTGTGATTGAGTTGTTAACCGATGCTATATCTCAAGTTCTAATTCCTACCCTCGACAATCTTAAAAGATTGTTGAGAAAAACTAGGTATATTTGTCATAAAAGTCTTTATTGTAAAGGAAGTTTTCATTATTCGAACAACATTGGATGGAAATTTAAAGATATTTTTTAACTTGAAAACAGGTCCAATGCAATGAACATTTAGAGAGGAAGACGTATTAGAGATAGAAAGAGAAAGAACGGATAGAACAAGATTATAGAGAGATAATTCTAGAGAGAGAGAGAGGGAGGTTGGGGGTGTTAAGTTAAGTAGGAGGGAGAGAGAGAGAGAGGAAGATATTGTTGTTTTTGTCCCTGCCCCAACGAACTTGTTTGAATTTTTTTATTCAGCTTCTTGAGTAAATCTGATGGGAAAATTAATTTTTTAGTTTGCATTGAGAAAATACTATTTATTTGTTTTGGCCTCTAAGAAAAGGTACAGTAGGAAGGTGACGAGAAGGTATGGGCAAAAGGGCTGTCCACGCATCAATTTAAATTTTAAATGAACCTTCCCTCCAAAATTTTGACAAGTTCACTAACTCATCAACTTAAATTTTAGATGAACCCTCCCTCCAAAATTTTATGGGTTGAAAATCTCAGCAACAGTGAGTGTGTGCGTGTATATATATATATATATAAAACAAAAAAAAATGAAAAAACAAGGTGTTTTTTAATTTTAACATCGGCAATTTTTAGTTTTGGTAGGGCCATATAATTTGACATCCATTTACAAGATGGATATTTGACGAGTCAAGGGATGCTATTGTGGAATTATATCCTCTAACATAAAAAATACATTTTTATATTTACGAAGATTGAAGTAGATGTCACGTATAAAATTAATGCAAAAAGTTGAAGTGAAGATGTGCATTCAAAATTTTATGTGTTAATCTCGTATCGATAAAACTTAATATAAGTTAGATGTGCGCAGCATTGAAAATCAATTTTCATGGTTTAAATTTTAAAATATATAGCCAGATCTTGCCCATTGCTTGATCACCACGTCAAGCAACTAAAGATTCCCCAATAAAAACAAATGTATACGAAAACGATTGATGCAAAGTTACCCATTTAATTATGAAAATCTACGTCAAAGTGGATAGCCAAGGATTTAAAGTTAAAAATGGTGTGTATGGGGAAAGATACCCTGACACTATCGATTAATTATTTCATATAATGCCAAATCCCCAACACAAAGATTTACTTTTATGAATCACTAATGTATAGGGATGCTGACCCTTTGCTTACATCCGAAAAGTAGGATATGTCTTAGTAGGGCCAATTATATTTAAAATCCTTATTAAGTGTATTGCGATTTATCAAAATGCACAACTTTTCAACAATGTGACATTTTATCATTTTTATTTATTTATTCCAACTGATGGTGATGTGCATTTTGATGGGTAATTTGAAACTAAATTAAAGTATGTGGATAAAATATTAAATATGATCTCTTATGTGTATTTTAATAAAATTTCTTTAATGCATTCAACTTGTCATCTAAAGTAACATTTTATCTTACCAAAATTTTATATGAGGCTTATGCTTTACTATTATCTCAGACCCAGTCGAAGTTTTGAAGTTAGAAAACTTCAAATTTATCATCTTGACCTCAATAATTATATATATATATATATTTAAAAAAAAAAAAAGAAAAAAGAGATAGATTTTGAACCCTAATAGTTGTAGGGTGCGGTTTGTATAGAGCATAGGCTATAAGCAATCAAATTAAAGCCTACCTTCAAATAGTGTCAAGAAATATAGTTTCAATACTAAAAATATTTGTGATAGCCT